TGCCTCAGGTCGTTCATGTTCGACCCCGGGGTCTTCGGCCGTTCGGTTGAACAAGTAATAGAACAGTTGAACAGGGAATGGTAGTTAAGATTTATATTAGGAAAAGTTCTCTGTTGCAGCAAGGGTCGTATTCCTCGTCGCAAACAGGTTTTCCTCAATAACACCACCTTGCCTTGTGTCAGTTCAATCGTAACTGCGTCCAAGATGCATTTTTCTCTCACAAGATTGCTTCCAAGCGGACAGTGGTGCTTGCATCCAATTCTAAAACATTAATCTAAATACACTGTGCTCTTCAATGGCAGAATCCTTCTCATTTGCCCTGCTTTTACAAACCAAGTGTTGATTGAACCGATTTTCAACTTTCTACCAGTTTCGCTAATGCAGCTTTCTCCACATGAGCAAATTATCTGATATACAATCTGAGTATCTCATTATTTAGGCATGACGCCTATTTTGTATACAACGCTGCTCAGTCATCTCTGCTCAGCCTGTGTTGCTGTGCTATTTCCAGCCCACGTTGAACTGTTAATAAATAAAGGTCTTTGGGAGCATATTTTCATCCAGTTCAATGGTTGTTGCTGTTCTCCTGACGAAGAAAAGAAGAGTTCTTGTACGAAGCTAGAGAACCAGATAATTCAGCTCGCGGCAAATTCCAGCAGAGTAGATGAGAAGTGCGTTGACGTTCAGGAATATAGCCTACTAAAGAACCACATCAGAGGATGGGATGCAAGAAGCATCGACCTCCGCATTAAAGCCAAATAGCAAAAACGAATTCTTCGGCTTTCATGAAAATAGAGTTCCAACATCGCAATAAATAAAAGGCAAGACTAACAGAGAGGAAGAAACCTACAAGATAAGTTCAAAAAAGCACCTAACTCTTTTGATTAATTTGCTGATAAATGTACGCTAATTGAACTTGCGCCTTTTGCGACAAACTCATCGTCATATTGTTGCAACTTTCCATAATATCAAAAACATTCAGTGACAGAAGGAGCCACGACTGAGGCATCAAAACACTTTCTCATGCAGAAAAGTGCAAGACAACAGCATCAGGCTTGGCCTCACTAAGAGGTAACGCGCAACCTTTAATTGCGGATCTTACTCTGACTTCAACACTAACTGCGCACGCCCTGAATCCGAACAAAACTACCAAAATAATTATTAATTAATTAAAGAACTATTCATATCGACAAATTTTTCACGCAAAACCACTGCCCAGATCTTTTTAAAACTTCTTTTGAAGAAAACCCACAACTTTGAAACTGAAATACTTATCTCCAATTAGTTTCCTAAATAGTTTATGAATGGCCTCGATAAAAAAGATCAGTAAAATGAATAGAAAATATTTGTTAGCATAACTCTAAACCGAGACCGAATACACTGTCTTCCTTGCATCCAGCAGTCAGAAACCGCCACCATACCGTTAGCTCGCTTCCTCGGAGATCCCTAGAGTAGAAACCGGTAAAGAGTAATTTCCTTCGGAACTTCATAAAGTTTTTGCTTGATATCGTGTAGTTTATTTGCTTTGCACTTCGTTTGTTCGTAGAAGTTCCTGATTTAAACCCGTGATCTACCTGAATTCTTGAAATTACGCTACGTACACAACTCTGGATCATCTAGGTTCCAGCTCACACTGATTACCTTGTACTGCTAAAATATAACAATACGTGTAATTATACCTAAGCAGTAGCCAAACAAATAGCTAACGTAATCCAATAGCGGATTAACTGCTAAGATTGGGACAGTGTTTAGTGCGTTTCAGTAAAAAAATAACTATCTATTCTTACCTGAAAGCCAAATTTGCAGCATGTCTTGTCTGTAAGGTGGCTGGACGAAAACTTAAGCCACTCTATTTCATGTGAATGTTAACGCATGACGATAAATCTGAAAGTAAGTCAGATATAAATGACGTTGCTTCACTATTAAAAGCTCAGCAGTTACTTCTTTTACTTTGCTTTAAACTATTTTCGCCAGACATAATGGACAGATTATGTAAAAGTTTAATACGTTTCTACAGATTCTGATCTTAAATTCATAGTAGAGACTGTCGTTAAATTAAACAGGTATCTTTAGAATTAAAGACTGTAAGATGCAGTTTCAACGTCTGATTACATCTTTTGTGTTGCTTAATTCCCTTATTTAATTTGTGCATGTGTTTTTGAATAAAAGTTAAAAAGACTTATCGGCAACACAGTTCGAACAGTAAATTTTCAAGCTGTTAGACTCTGTTATATACTATATGATAAAGATGAGGCATTGGTGACTGATTAAGGAATTAATTCTGAACGTATCTCGTCCCCAGAGTAATTAGAGAAGGTTTATTATGCATGTCAGATACATCGGTTAGGCATACACAGAGAGTATCAGAAAAGTCTCAGAAAAGCATTGACTCGACAAATTTTTTTCCCACTAGTGCCATGTCGCGTTGAGCTTCATTTTTTAAGTTAGCTTTCAGGGTATGGTTATAAAAAGCTGGAAAAGAACTTTCATCATTGAGTTTGATGAAAAATGAAAGTGACAGATCGAAGAGCGCCGTTACGGTAATTAGTGCAGTTCTGTTACACAGTTCCACGCTGAATCATTTGAAATCACGGAAACGTATCTAGCATTGCTTATAAAATATTTGAAGCTTCATGAGTCTACCTGAAAAGGGATTAAATTTTAGCCGTTAAGAATTAAGATTCTGTCCGAAAAATTTTTGCTGTGTTCAAGCGAATCAAAACATCTTAGAGATTTATGAACATGATCTTAGCGCATCGGAGTGATGCCCAAGTGTTCTGTAGGGTGATAGATCTGTCGAGATATTAGCTAAACTGGTTTGCCTGCTACATGACCATTTATTGAAAGATATCTAAAGTTTAAAAATTTACGACTCGATTGGAATAACATAAATTTTCCTTTTTCTGCATATACAGAAAACAAACATATTTGGAAAATAGAATTACAAAGAGGAAGAAAATACAACCTTGAATGATTTTTGATTCTACGCTTATGATTCATCAGTCAACTGTTTTTCTTTTTGAATGATAGGAAAATCCAAACCTACCACCGGTGACCGTAGTGAACGAAAAATTCAACGTTTTTGCGTTGAACAGTTTCGTTTCACTAGTACCTAACAAAAACAAACTATCTGCGTGATTGTCAG